TGCATAGTCAGTTATGCCCGCACCATTTGTTAAATAAGCCACCTCCCCTGAAGTGAAATTTCACTATCTAATTACTCAAATTTATTTCTGGATTCTGTGTTCCATTAATGTTTGCCTACTCCTGAGACAGTAGTATACAATTTTTATTCTAATAATTTCATATCAAATATACTCTTTGGTAAGGTAACCCTTACTCTGTTTTTGTAGTTATCTTGGCTAGTCTTTTACATCTGTTTTATTATATGAACTTTGAAATGATCACATCCAGTTCATGAAACCTACATTGTGCTCTAGGGAGTCTCATTTGTGTGCTCAGCTGATCTCCTTGAGAGCATTCAGTGCTGGTTTTGTTAAAGTTCTCTTCTGATTATTCTTTTATGTTTACTTTGTTGGTTGCCAACTGTTTTAAACATCTGCCTTGGTCTTCCTCCCTCCCCTTGCTGGGTTTTCTTGAATGGGTTATTTTCCCTGATCTCTTCATGGTTTAGTATTTCTTCAGCAGGCAAGTGTTTAGGATCTCCTATATTGTGGCAAAGCAGCCAAGTGCAAGTTTGTAGGCTGAAAGTTGACAAAGTAGCAATCTGATTCCTCTTTTCTGAGGACCAAGCAGAGCTCCACAGATCCTTGGGACCCAGAGAGATTTAGCCTACCAGAAAAACCAAGTCAAGGTGGGTTCCATAAGACAAAACCCACTGAGACCTCAGGCAAGCTTGCAGGTACAGCACTGCCTGCCTGTGTTCTTTCAGGAGCCCATCCAACCCCTGCCTTCCCTTCCTAATTCAAGACGAGACAAGCCCAACTCTTCACAAGGGGTACCTGCTTTCTCTTTTCTTCCCAAGACTCTATAAAAGACCCTGGAATCAGTACATCCAAGGAAGTGTAAGTAGTTGGTACTTTTTCATTAAGAGGAGAGAAAGTGAAGAAGGACCTGTGAACAACGATGTAACAGTAGAGAAGACAGTGACTAGAAACCTAATGCACTTGATGATAACAGTATCAGCTTTGTTTTGCTTTGTATGGGAGACTGGCCACAGTCTTAGGATTTTCACTGTAAGGTGACACTTCCCATCATTTTTCCTGCTTTTATCTCCCC